CTCTCTCTCTCTCTCTCTCTCTCTCTCTCTCTCTCTCTCTCTCTCTCTCTCTTCCTCTCTTGTGCTGGAGGGAGAATGTTTCCAAAAAGAGGGCAAGCATCCGTGCATAGGGGAGCAAGGCCGTGCTGAAACTGGACCAATCGTTCACAGACAATAGAGGGTCCAAGCCACGACGCTGCCTACGGCCCATGCAAGAGGCAGCTCTGCCGGGCGTACCTTTGTTCCCTCAATTCAGGAAACACATAGGTGCACTGCTGTACACAAGTTGCTTCTCCGCACGCCTCCAACCAGACTCGGGTCAACGAGAAGAAAACACATCGCACCTTTGGCGGCACCACAGTACATCGACGCCCATATGCCACAAGGCCTTCTCTCTACGGCACGCTTGTTGCATTCTGGATGGGTGTAAGATGTTCCAAAGGCCGTGTCGCACCTGTCAAACTTGGAGTTCTCAAAAAGCCTGGCGAGTTTTGCACAACTTCCCGTGGGTGTTGGCGGCAGTCAGACGCGTCCGTACGCCCTCTCTCTCCCTCTCGTGCACGCACTCGTCAAGGCACAAGTGCCAGACATGAAGAGCAGGGCGGAACAGGACAGCAGGAGCCAGGAGCACCGGGAGACAGAGGACGGAGCAGAGAGGTGGAGGTGGGGGGGGTATGTAAAGGATCGCCTGATCCAGTACGATCCACAGGCCCCCTTGCACATCCATCCAGGGAGATGATAATTTTATTTGACACATAGGGGATGATAACGACTGTCCCCGGGGTTTCCACAGTAGAATTACGGTTCCTATGCAGATAGTCTGCGCGCACAATAACACAGGTAGAGACGGGTGCACTGAGAGCACTACAGGCACCTGATCGTCGCGAAAGGCAAGGAATCACAAAGTACGGCCTTCTGTGCCTACAGAAACCAAGTTTCGGCTCCCGAGGCCCCAAACTCGGCGAGATCGGCCCGACCATGACCACAGGATACACANCCCCCCCCCATCCATCCAACCCTATGGTATATGACCACCATAACACGAAAACCTCGTCTATAGACTATGCTACTGCTGTGCATTGTATGCCGTTCATGTGTATTGATTGGCAGACTCATGTTCGTCGTTTGTTGCCCAAGTCCACATCATCATAGTCGTAGACTGACTACATGATGGAGTATATGTAGAATAGACTGCATGGTCTAGACTCGCCGAGAGGAGGGCAGCGACCTCACCGACCGCCGGTGCGGGAAAACGAGAGCGGGCTGATAGGTGTTTCTTCTTAATTAAGGAGCGCACACCTCACCACCTGTTTACTCACTGCGTACAGCTACTTGGTACTGCCTGTCAGTACAGCAGTGTAATGGATCTTGTGCAGATTGGCATTATCGGACGGATTCGGACTACCCTGTGGATCAAGTTGTGCGGTTGGATCGATGTTTTTTTTTTTTCTCCCATCATTGGACTCTGTCGTCTGCCCCTCTGGCCCCTATCCTCCACTTCTACTGGCTAGACGACCCAACCGGGGTCACATAGGAGGGGGGGGGGGGCTGGACCCCCCCCTGTGGTTCCTGCCTGAGGTATTTTTATCGCGAGAAGGGTACAGCAATCCCTTCCCTCGCGACTTACGAAGTCGATTATGGTTTACTAACAACGAGCTTTGCAACGCGTCGCTTTCATCCTAGGCCAGGATTAATTTAGTGAGAAAAAAACTCACTCTGTCGGGACTCGAACCCACGACCTGGCCCTTGGCAGGCTGCGAGGTCACCCACTAGACCACCGGGTGTATGACCTATGGTATATGACTATAACAATCAAGCAGTGGTTGCTGACAGAGGAGCGCAGAGCTATTCTACCACCACTTTCATGGTTTTCAAAGTATGCATGCGTACTGGAACATCCCGGGGACAATTCAGGACCCTTTTCCGCCCTACCTTGCGCCCCACCTTGCGCCCTACTTTCATCACGCTCGCATACGACAACCGGGGTGGAGCCCGCTGTCGTACTCGCAGGGCAGGACCACAACATCACAAGGGAGGTTATTTGCGAGGACAGCGCTGGATTTGTTCACGGTGAGTCCTGTGAGTCCTTGTGTTATGACCTTGTGATGGCAAGACCCCCGGGGTAGGTGCGAGCCGAAATCCGACTACCCCGCACGTCGCAGGCGGGTCTGTCTCGCTGGAGTCAGGGCACTTCCTGCCGTCGCATGCGCCGTCAGTACATGTCCCAGGCTCTCTTGGAAAGAAATCCGTTTGGAAAATGGTCTCGTGTAGGCAGATTACTCGCCAAAAATGCGGATCATAACCTCACCCGCCAGCGAGGGGCCCTCTCCCAGAGGCAGCAGCAGCAGCAGCAGCAGCAGCAGCAGCGTTTGTTTTTGTTTTTTAAACACAACATGCATGCGCATTTTTTTTTTTAAACACAACNTCGCAGGCGGGTCTGTCTCGCTGGAGTCAGGGCACTTCCTGCCGTCGCATGCGCCGTCAGTACATGTCCCAGGCTCTCTTGGAAAGAAATCCGTTTGGAAAATGGTCTCGTGTAGGCAGATTACTCGCCAAAAATGCGGATCATAACCTCACCCGCCAGCGAGGGGCCCTCTCCCAGAGGCAGCAGCAGCAGCAGCAGCAGCAGCAGCAGCGTTTGTTTTTGTTTTTTAAACACAACATGCATGCGCATTTTTTTTTTTAAACACAACATGCATGCGCATGTTTTTCGCCTCGGATGAAAGTGGGGCGTGCGCAACGCCAGAACACGCCGATGACGAAATATCAAGCTCATGGTTTCCAGCATATACTCGGGTTCAACCTTGATGCTGTCGTGTAGGGACCACCGAGTCCAATTCAGCGGTAGACCGAAATCTCCGAATTCGCCACCGCTGCCAGAGGCATGCGGTGGCCCTGGCTATGGCTATGCACGCCTCACGTGTTTCCAGTTCGGTGGCGGCCTCGCTCTTGAGGTATAGTGGAAATAGTTGTTCTGCCTCCCGTGAGGTACAGCAGCAGGTTATGGGTTCGAGTCCCGACGGGGCGATTTTTTCTCGCTAATTACATCCTGGTCTCTGTTGGAAGCGACGCGCTGCAAAGCTCGTTGTTATTAGTAGAGTTGATCGAGTTCATAAGTCGCGAGGGAAGGGCTTGCTGTACCCTTCTCGCGATAAAAATATCTCTGGCAGGAACCGTAGGAGGGGGTCCAACCTTCCCTCCTGTGCGACCCCGGTTGGGTCGTCTGACTCGTAGAAGTGGAGGATAGTCATATGGCGCCAGAGGGGCAGACGACAAAGCCCAATAATGGGAGGAAAAAGAAATAAAAACAAAGAAAAATATGAAGCGCAGACCCACGAAACAGTTTTCTTTTTTTGTTCCTCTTTATCTCGTCCACTCGCCCTTTCCCCTCCCAGAGGTGCCGATATGGAATGGATGGGGAGCGCCGTTTTCGGCGAGGACACCCCATCACCTGTCAGGGTTATTACGAGGCTGTTCACGGTGAGAATTTACCGCGGGAAATGTAGATGGCGTCCATTGTCGTGTTTGTAGTCCGTGACACTGCGCAATATTGTTCTCTCCGTCTTCGTTCTCTTGAATTGCCCAACTGGTGCGGTGACTTCGCGCCTAGTTCCCCCACTTGTCTCGATGCCCATAACTTTCATGGTTGCGGTCATCGGTATATTGAGTCGTCTCCGCGACAGCAGTAATCGTCATATAGATCGCGCCGTTCGTAACGATTTGGGTATCATTCTCGCACACTGATGACAGGCGGGCGGCGAGGAGAAAGAGGACAGCGATGATGCAGGAACAAATCGCGAGATGCATCCAGGGCGCAAAAGGTAAGCTGAAGCCTGGGTCACCTAAGAGTCGAAAGAGTCTCAGCGATGACTGCTAGAGTGCATTTTCTGTGTTATTTTTTCGTGCTTTGTTCTGCTGGGTGTTGCCCCGTCGGTGATGACCGCTTGATGTATCGCCCTGTTCACACTCCGGCGTCATTTCCTCAAAGTTGGACTCTCTGGATGCTCACAAAGAAAACAGATTGCGGCCACGTCATATAGTTCCCCCCTTGTGCTCTCGAATGCTGTTCGGCGCAAGGGCGCGGAGAGGACTCCGACGATGAGGAGAATGACGACGACACGGAGGAGTCGGACGAAGAGGCGGAGCGCGACAAGGACATGGTCCGCGATATGCATGATGCCGCCGCGGAATATGGTGATGTCCAGGTGAGATCGCCATGTAGATCGTAGTCTGCACGCGCAATTCAGACCAAGCACGAAGTACCAGCCAATGTATCCAGTTGGCGTGAACTCGCATAGTCGTATCAGCTTTCGTCGTTCAGTTGAACGACGAAACAACATCGCAACGAGGGCCTATTGGTAACAAGCTGTTCACCCGCGCATTTTGTGTTTGTCAACGGCTGTCTGGATCACCATGCGGCAGAAAACCCCTTCGTACAAAATCTTAGGGTTTACGTGCGGAGCCAAATCGCGAGCGGTCTTTGCGGAGACCTTGACGGCGTCAAGAAAAAGGTGTGGGAGAGGGTGGACCTCCTCTTCTTCGAGGGGCGTAGACGCTGGCTCGGCCCGCTTTGGAAGAAGGTCAAAGATCTTCCCCCGACCACGCGCTTGATTTCCGACGCTTGGAACGGCCACGTTGACGGAGTCGCCGCCTTAGAACACCGTAAGGCTGATACTTAGGCGGCGGCTGCGTTCACCTTGACCCGCTTTGCTGGCTGGGACGGTAGACTCCGGGCGTGGATAAGTCAGCCGGAAGTGTTGGAGGCAGGGTTGCGAGACTACCAGGAAGCGAAGGCGTTGCATGACCTATCCTGCATCATCAATCACGTGGAGGAGGTGGGTTGATACGGCAGTCAGTTAGCGAGTTGGGCATTTGTGGAATGGCTTGCGTGTCATCTCCGCATCCGTGTGTGAACAAGTCAAAACTTCCATCCTCCTGCATCTGCACGTTACTGCGTTGATTGTAGGTTTGAGAGAGAGCGCCGTGTGTTTATTTCTGGTTGGAATAGGTGTGTTGGAGCTACCACCAATTCCTGGCGCTCGGGTCTAGAATCAACCATTCGATTTCATCTTGTTGATGTGTATTCCACGGCCAAGTAGCTGAGGTATTTTCTCCATGCCCGCGCTCCTCTGATTGAACCGTTCCCCATCCCCTACCCTTAATGCAGAAGTTTTACAAGGTGTGCGTGAAAGAGCGCAAGGATTCCGTGGCCGTGGAGCTCTCTTACCCGAGTGAAATGTATCAGATCACAAAACCGCGCGGGCAAGTCCTGTACTACATTGCCAGTTGGGCAGCCAGCAGGGCTTCGACGCATCAAAGATGACACAATCTTTCCCAGGATTGGGTGCGTGTCGTCCGACACAACACTCGCCGGTCCAGTGGGGAGGCGATATGTGCTGATGCTATGCTGAGGGATTTCGTAGCAAAAGTCGATTCGAAGAACGATATGAAAAACGGTCCGGGACTTCTTTACCCTACGATGGAGTGGGTAGAGTTCGTGTATGCCATGCAGAGGGGCATTTTCCATTCCTTGAAAAAAAACATCTTCCTTGCTGCTTGCCTCGGAGACTTGCCAGCCGAGATTTTCAAAGTTGTAAGCGAGGCGGAGGTTGTCAAGGAGTTGTGAGGAAACTGCTGCCCCCCTGGTCCTACTGCCATCGATTCTAGAGATTTTTCCTCAAGTTGTCGGGAAAATCCTCAACGTGCGAATGGGTGACTTCGCGAAGTGTAAGGGAGAATAATCCCCTCACGTTCTCGAAGGCCGCGCCTGCTTTGCGGCAACAGCTGAACGCACCGGTCGGGCCAATTGGAGGGGCGGGGGGCGGTAGTGGCGGAAGCAATGGGGGTTGCACAGGGGGCCGGGGCCGCAGGAGGGGGCGGGGGGGGGCGGTGCAAAGCGCCGAAAGGGGGGACGTGCGCGGAGGCAGACCCCGCCCACCCTTAATCAGTTGAAGGGGACGTCCCGGGCGGAGATTAGCGACAGGTGCACTGGAAGACAACTTCTCGTGCTCGTAAAGGACGCCGGGATTGAGAAGGGCACAACGAACTCAAGAAAAGATTATCTCCTCGATTACCTGGCGGCGTATGTGGGTGGGTTCGGGCAGGAATCTGTTGAAGGGGCAGGCCCCAGTGCGACAGGGAGTGGGCCAGCCGAGGGAGGATGCGGGGGGCGTGGTGGTGAGAACGCGGGTGAGGGCAACGCCCCAACAGATAGCAACGCCCGGACAGGTAGTGGGGAGATGGTCTCTGTCGGTGGTGATTTTACGACGTCAAAAGTGCCTGCGCAGGACGGAAGGGACGACGACGGTTACCTCTCACGACCGGTTACGATGGATTTCTCGCTGTCGGTTTTGGAGGGGGCTGGAGTGTCTAGCGGGGGTGGCTCTTGAACAATTTTTCGAGGCAGAAGGTGAAAGTTGGTGCGTCGGCTTTTGTTTCGTCATGTTGTACCGTTCATGGCTCAGGACTACCATCTTATATGTGTGCATGTCGAAGTTGGCGTGGACTTTCTAGCCACTAGGAGCGCCGGCGTGTTGCGCACCTATTCCGTGTAGTAGACGTCCTCGAAGTACAAGTATTGTGTATAGGTGTAAGCAACGGTCGTTCCCCCTAGCCGGAGCCATGTCAGTCAGCGGGGATTCTCTTCGTTGCCGCATTCAGCCGAGAGCGTTGCAGTGGCAAAGTCGGGTTGAACTTCGTCCAGTTATTTCTTGGTGTTGACAAGGAGAGCATACAGTAACCATCCTGAATGTCTTCAACACCGGTAAACAATTGACCTGAAGTAGCTACCTTCCTACCGCCCGGGACAAATCATCCTCAAGGCTGTGTTGGTGAAGAATCCGAAGTCGGTCCGATAAGTGTACTCCCGAAACAATGGACAGGACTATTGAGAAAATTAGAGAGGATATAGGGGGGGCAAGGAACAGAGAGGCTTCGTCCGTGAGCATCAAACACCCGGTGATTAAGGCGGAGGGAGATATGACGAACCTCCAACGAAAAAAAAAGATGACAGAGAAAACATCCAACAACACGAAACCAGAAAGATAGAAAACTCGACTACGGGAGCAATACGTCTGCGGATTTTGCGTGACAGGGATGCCAAACTCACACGTGCTTCGAACACTGTTGGGGAGAGCCTCCCACCCCGATAAAAAAAAAAAAATCAGGACCCGGCTCCGCTCGACAAGGGGGGCACCAGACTCGCTCATCCCTACAGCCCTATCTGTTGCATGTGCGTGGGCAAGCCCAGTGCTTCCGCAAAGCTATGTAACATGGCACGCTGGGATTATTCCTAATGCTGATTCTCGGAGGGAAAATCGAAATACCTGCAGTCTTCTAGCTCTCTCTCTCTCTTCATCTCTCTCCTGCGTCTACTTGACCAAAAACAACCAACGCTACCTTATTCCCTTCTAAACCTCTCGAGGGTTACGAGTATGGGTTGAAGACTGCGGGGGTCAGGCCCGCAGGGGCTGCTGTCGACTCCTGGGATGCACTACCCCCTACCGCAGGGTCCGCATGGGGTTTGTCGATGCTGATGTACCGTGGGAAATCCCAGCTGAGACAGGGTTCCTCGAGGGCACCCGCATCGTAGCAGACCGCTCGGCGTCGGTCACTGGGAGCATGATCCGTCCCCGGATCCCGGACGCGATGAAGTCCTCACCTTTCCGCGCATTCTTATTGTGGTTCGCGCGGGAAACCCCGTTCAAACTGCGTTGCAGGTCCCCTCGTGCTGCCCTTTCCTTCGGTTGCGCAGCTGTCGGGTTGCTGTGCGACCCAAGACTTTGGCGCATGTGCCCGTACCGCTGTTTCACGATATCCTGTGGGGGTGGGGGGTGGGGGGGGGTGTACTCATCGTCGTGCATACCGAGACCATTGACCTCGCATCCCTACAAAGCCGGGACAGAGCACGCCGGGTTATCACCGGACCAGGCTCTTACATCACCAAGCGCGAAGTGCCGTGAGATATTCGGCGAGTTGCATGAAGGGTGCGCTGCATCCTACTAAGGGTGTTCGGCATCTCGTGCTTACTTCCTTGCGCACGGATGACAGCTGCGTATGGCTTAATTTATTTTCTGGTGCTTTCACTTCCAGAGACAGTTGTAAGCACTGTGTAACTGCCTCGAGGGTGCTTGACCATTTTAACACAACGTGATGCGATCATCCCCCTTGCGCGGAGTGAGGATTCTCCACCCCGCACAACATGATCTACTCGACCACCGTCATGGTTACCGCCAAAAAAAAAAAACAGAGGTAAACAACAAAAACGGTAACCTGGTTGCCGAGTTCACGAAGTGGACTGGCTTGTTTTACAACGTC